CATGTAACAACTATGAATTTTGTTATCTTTTATTTTTGCTTCTTTAGTTTGTAAATGTTTCAACTACGAATCTATTTACACCATCTATTGTCACCTTCATTCTATTTTTATACACTATTTTAAAAATATTTTTTATCGTTTTAAGCTTCATCTTCGTTAAGATAAATTGGTCTACAAAAAAATTCAAACCCGATTATACCCACCCGCTTAAATCCGAATCCGTTTCAACCCGAACCGCCTCAAATCGAAAGCTCAGTCGGTTGGATATGGGTCACATTTTTTCAAAGTCGGTTTACAACGAGTTGGACATTTTTCACCCGAACCCGACCAAACCCACCGTTGCTCACCCCTAGATAGTAGCTGTTCTTTGTGTTGCTCTCTCCGTCTGTTTTAGATAGTCACTAAAAAAAATAAAAAACTGACTTGAAGTAATAAACTAAAACTTTTACTAAAAGTTAAAATTTTGTAAGTAAAATGTCTAATTTATATTGACACTACTAATGATTTATTTATCTATTGTGTAAGTTGTATAATGATTTTTTAAGTTTTATTTTTTATGACAGACAATCATAAGTGAGGTACTTGAGTTTATCCCCATTGAATATTTATAAGTATATACATAAGTAAGTTTTGGTTTAACCAAAAATTTCATGCATGAAGGAACAAAAAATTTATTGGTATAATTCCTTTTCCTTGTGGTGGGTTGCCGCTCTTGAAGGTCATTTGACATTTTGTTATAGGTTCATGATATATACACCTCCTGTTTTTTATAAGTACACCTTTTTTTTAAAAAAATATTAATTTTTTAAAATATTTTTAATTTTTTAATTTTACACTCACAACATTTTATTTAGTATTTTTTTTTACACATCTTCCCTTTTTTTTCTTCAATTTTTACATGTACTCTCTTACCTTTCCTTCACCCCACCTATAAATAAACAGTACAAGTTGTAGAGTCAGGATCACTTGGGAATTTGACTTGCATACCCATCAATCTAGGATCTTCATTTTATTCTTACTCGACTAATTGTGTATTTGTAGAGATATTGTGGCTGAATATGCAAAACAAGTAAAAGCATTGGGTATCACAATCTTTGAGCTACTGTCAGAGGCTCTTGGACTTAATCCTTCTTACCTTAAAGAAATGGACTGCGCTGAAGCACTCCATGTTATGGGTCAATACTATCCACAATGCCCTGAACCTGAATTAACTCTGGGTATTTCAAAGCACACTGATTGTACCTTCATAACAATACTTTTGCAAGATCAGATAGGTGGTCTTCAAATTCTTCATGATCATCATTGGGTTAATGTTCCTCCAGTGCAAGGAGCTCTAGTTGTAAACATTGGAGATATTCTACAGGTAATTTCTGAAATTGTTAACTATTTTTTCTACAAAAGATAAATATGTTCTTTAAATATGATTATCAAAGAAGGCTTATAGCCTAGGTTTAGCTAGCTTTAAATAAGTGAAATATCACAGAAGAATGGTTCACAGAAAGAAAATTTGAATGCAATAGGTTAGTAAAATTATCAAAATGTAAACCATGGCATATGGTTTTTGAGTGTTTTAACAATCAAGTAGCTTCTGTTTCTATGTAGATTCAAGAGTATAGCTTCATAACTATATGAAATTTGCTTCACCTGAATATAATAAAACCATAATGACAGTTTAAATAGCAGTGGCTTTCTATGTTATGGTCTTTTCAATTTTTGACACTGATATATTAAACACCTTTCTTAGACAACGAAAGGTTAATATATTAGGGTAGCACTTATACCCATGATTGTTTAATTTGTAAAGCAAAGTATGAATTAGGGTCTATTTACATAAATTTTTCTAGAAGCATTTTTGGGAGTTAAAAATACAAGAAAAAAATGAAAAATAAGCTCTTCTATAAACTAAAATTAGATTATGCATAAGTTACTTTGTAAAAACTTTTTCTTATTAGCTTTTCCAAAATTTTATTTTTTCCTTACGGAGAAGCTTATTTCGATTCTTCTTTTTTATTTGTTTTTTCTTTTAAAAGTGTTTTTTGAGAAGTTTATTTAAATTGACTCTTAGAATAAAATTATACAACTTGAAAATTTATTGGAAATTGGGTTGTCAATCCATGGCTTGCAAAATTCTGCAGCAAAGACACAAGAGAAGAGAGACATTGAATTTTTTTGGCAAAGCCTCTTCATATATATGGAACATATTACATGTATCATTGCTTATATATTTTTATGTTGCACTGCATACATTAAAAATTTGTCTATATAAACATATCGTCTCTCAACATTTCTATTATTTCTGTTATTATTTCCATCATGGCCTAGTAGTTTATCGATAGTCTTAATATCCATTTGCTATAATTTCCTGATGATCTATAATGCTAATTGATTCCATTTCAACATCTACACTTTCTTTCAATTACAGAAATAAAATTTCAGTAAGACACTATGATGCTCTGAAGATGTTAGTTTTAGAAGGAATCATGTCATGAGTCTATTTGAAAAAACTCCTGTAGAAGTGCATCTAAAAGAAAAAAAATGGGAAGGAAAATCAAAATAAGCTTCTCCATAAATTAAAACTGATTTATGTACAAGTTAAAAGTAAGATTTTAGATAAATTAATAAGAAAGAGCTTCTACAAATTCGCTTATATAGAAGTGAATTTTAGCTTATAAAGAAGTTTATTTCATTTTTCCTTCTTATTTTCCTTTTATAGAAATACTTCTTGAGAAGCTTACCCAAAGAAGTCTATAAAGGACATGATTCAACATAAAAGTGAACTGAACTTAAATATTTAGGACTCACCATACCCAATTCTTTTATGATTATATTTATGTTTGTCAATTTTGTGATAATTCATGCAGCTTATGACAAATGACAAGTTCACCAGTGTTTATCACCGGGTCTCGTTGAGGAATATAGGCCCTAGAATTTCTGTAGTAACCTTCTTCTTGAATTTTACCATGTCCGAATGCACATCAAAGAATTATGGTCCAATAAAGGAGTTGTTATCAGAAGAAAATCCTCCAGTCTACAGGGACAACATTACTATGAAAGAAATCTTGACACATTATTATGCAAAAGGTCTTGATGGGAACTCTTACTTGCTGTCTCTAAGGTTGTGAAGCAATCATAAAAGGTATTAGATTGGTGCTTTCTTTATTCTCATGGAGTTGGTTTTAGTCTCATCAATGTATCATAGTTAACCGGTGGCCAGTGCCTTCATCTGTGATTTTCAATGTCTAGAGAAATTTAAATAAACAGTACAAGTTGTAGAGGCAAAATGTTTAGACATATTTAGTTCATTTTACTATGGAAGAGAATAACTTGTTTTCTGTATTATGACAATAGCTTGATACTTAGGTTCTAGTGGTTGTCGATATATTCTTGTATCAACATTCACCAATGAATCTTCATTCGTCACTGTTTCTTTTTTGGGGGCCAAGTACACCTCCTTTATTTTTTTTTTAAATTATAAAATATTTTAGTTTTTTTATTTTCTAATTTTACACCTTCAATTTTCAATTTACTACTTTCTTCTTCTTTTTCACACACTTTTTTTTTTCTCTTTTAGTTTTCACATGCATACTACCAAAAGAAGTGGGGTGAAGGAAAGGTAAGAGGGTGCATGTAAAAATTGAAAAAAAAAAAGGAAGATGTGTGAAAAAGGGTACTAAATTAAATATTGTAGATGTAAAATTAAAAAATTAAAAATTAAAAATATTTTAAAATTTTAATTATTTTTTTTAAAAGGAGGTGTACTATAGAAAAAGGGAGGTGTATATATCATGAACCTTTGTTATATATTATTAGCATTTAAGTTTGGGCCCAATTGAGGGAGTGGGCTGATTTGTATGTCAAGTTTGAAACTCATATCATAAAATACCATAGTAGATAAAGAAGCAAGAAACTGATGATGCCACACCTCAGGATATAAATGTGATTTTATTATTCTCAGTTTTGACAACTTCTGTAATCGGTATATAGGCGATAGAGAGCTTGCTTTGGTTATGTATAATGTAATGATAATCTTTTGTAATATGTATCAGTTGTATATGAAATGTTTCTCTCTCATTCTTAAAAATAAAAATAAAAAATCACAAATCGACCTCTTGAAGATCTTGAAGAGGAATACAGGAAAATAAAAGTCAAAAGTTCCTGATGGGACAAAATAAAGATCACTTGATTGTATATAAATCTATCTCAAGATGACTGCAATTTAAAATTTTTAATTACACATATTGACAATAACAATAATTTTATTAACTTATATTAACAATATCTCTTACTATATAAATTTATTAAAATAACTATACTCTTTCAATAAAGACATTATTTTTAATGGTAGTGGCTGAATAATTTATTATAGAACAAATTAAAAAAATAATTAATATTATATTAAAAAGTAAGAATATCAATCAGTTTGAAGTGTTTTCCAAATGTTAAAATTGTAGTTAATTTGGGATGAAAAGAGTAATCTGGATTCAAACATCTTAACTTATACTCTCTTTGATTTCAAATATAAATAAAAATAATAAAAAAAATAATTTACCCCAATTAAGAAAGTTAGTAAAAATCATTTTTAAGTGCACTAATCCCATTTTAAAAAAATAACTTGATTTCCTAAACTACTATCTTTTGGAACTTGATATTAAATATAAAAAAGTATCATTAAAAATATAATAATGAATGAGTATTTTAGAGATAATAACACTAAATTAAGTAAAATTAGTTGACATTTGAGATCAACAAACTTTTTTTTATTATATTTTTTTTACTTATATTCATAATTGAAGGGAATATACATTTGAATCTATCTAATTTTTAAAGTTTGAAATCATTGTATACAAGTTAAAGTTTTTTTTTTATAAAAATTTTATATTCTTTAATATTACCTCCATTTCTTTTAAATAATATTGTAACATTTTTGTACATAAATAAGTAAAATATGTAATAAACTTTTATGTTCTCTATAAATTAAAATAATTTTGATAAGTCTTATTATTATACTCTCTTTCATTCTTGCTCCACAATAAATACATATTATAAATAAAAAAATCTAGGTAAAATATAAAAGTATAATGAATAAAAAAAGTAATTAATATTATCTTAAAAATTAAAAATAACAAATACATAGAAGTACAATTTTACTAAAAACCATTGACAAACAAAAAAATGGACAAAGGGAGTGACTATTAAGTTTAAAGTTTTTAAAAAGAAAAGTTTAATATAAAACTTTCATCCAGAAAGTTACCTTTTGTTCTTTAATTAGGAGCAAATTACTTAACTATAAAAAAAAAATTAAAAAAAAAGTGCAACCAAGGACGACCATTTTTAGTAAACCTTGCATGTGACTTACAAATATGAGTTTTGGGAGCATAAATTCCCCACCAAACATGTATGCTAGCTGAATGACATATCCTCTTGTTGTGGAGTTCCTACTGTGTCCACCAAAAAAGCACCAGCAATATCAAGGCTGCAACATACGGTTCAAAATCTTCATTGAGAAAATGTTGCTAGCTTTATATATATCTCCCTTGAATCATGCATGTGGGGTATATGAAACCATGATGAAGGAAAACCATCCCTTGCTGAACATACATGCACTAGCTAGAAGGTGTTGAGCAAAGATCGAATCAGATGTGACCACTTGTCTAAATATGAAGATTCTTTGCAGGAAATGGCTCCGGACAGAGACAGATTATCATGGGAAACAAAAAGGAACGATAATCAGGTTATATAGTTCTACCAGTTTCTTTGGATCAGAACGTTGGTACTTGGTAGGATATTCTCAAAAAAAATATTATTGTTGTACCGATAACACCATTTTAGTGCATTTCCACTCGTGTTAAAAGATGATATTTTTGTCGTGTCAAAAAGATGATATTTTTTGTGTATTATTTTTATTGAATCTCAAATATTATTGTAGGTATACACTTTTTTTTTGTTGGGTAAATTAAATTTAGAATTATGATGAGTTACTTTGTTTTTTAATCGATTTCTACAATATTAAATAATATTTAGGTTGTAAAAATTAATTTTACAAGTATGAAAAATTATTAGATAATTCTAGATTATTAAATATTTATGATTCCAATTAATCACTATATAATATATAATTTATTTTTTTGAGAAAACTTTAATGACACTTAATTATATGTCATATAGAGATTAATTATGAATCACGTGATTCAAAATTATATAATAATTTTTCTATTAACATAAATTAATTTTAGTTGTCAACTTAAAAATATTGTGTGAATTATGTACATTAAAAAAAAAACTATTAAAATTCTTGGTTAATTACAAAAATCTCATGTAAATTATAATGAGACTCGTGAGACTTCAAATTCCTGTGAGTCCATATTATTATAATTAAAGAACAAGTATGTCTAGAATAATTGCATTTACAATGTCGATAGGAAGAGATCCTCCTAACGTTTATAGAGAATTTCACATATGGTAATTTCCCACTAAATTTTTTTGAGGCAGCTGGGTCGTCAAACACCTTAAACTTCGGTTCTTTTTGATTTACGAAATTACAGATATCCTTCGTAGAGGTGTTGGAGAAGCACACTACTAGGATCAATGGATGTATGACACGACGCCACTAAATAGAAACAGCCAAAGATAAAATTTAATATGATTTGACACTTTTTTAAACCTACAGTCATATATATTCATCTGAATAGTCATTATCTTAAATCTCCATGTCATCATAAGTATTTTTTTTAAGATAAACATGAAAAATTCTTTATTCACGTGATCCCTTCCTCCTTCTTACTATTAGGCTTGTGACCTCTTTTTCACGTGGGGTAATTTTTCTCATTAATTTTCTTTTAAGATTTGCATCCCAAATCTAAAATAGAAAACAAATATCTAAAATAAAAATAATATTTTTAAATCTAACAAATATTCTAAAGATTAAATAATATTTTGTAAATTTAAACATCATTCTAAATATTTAAAATTCAAAATTTGAATTTGTTGGTGAAAAAATATAAGTGAGAAAATTTTATAAATATAATATCTTAATTAAAGTCTTTGTTAAGATATGTGTCGACTTTACTTTTATAGTTTGCTTATAATTCATTGATGGAATTCTCCCTCGTGTTTAGCTCTCTTTTGTATTCCCAACAATTGGTATTGGGGTTGATAAATCAACCCAATGACTAGCTTAGACATGTATTGGATACTGGAATTGACGATGAATTCATGTGAAGGGATTCCTTGTAAGTATTCCTAACAATATATTGAGGTTAGATAGTGTGTTTCATTGATGTAAGCTAACAATGATGCAAGTATCAAGAGTTCATCGGCGACAATGAGTAAACTTTAAGGATAATCATTGAATACTTGTAAATAAACAAGACTTTCCGCTCTAAAGTGAATATACCTTGTGAAAGAAACTTATGCTTGGAGAGACATTGTTAACGTGCAAGTGTGAAAGAGAGTCCTATATTAGATAAAGTTGTATTTGTTAAGTAGTGTATAAGTGAGAAAGACCTATAAACTTGATGCCTTAAGATTTTGGATTAAGATGTGATATTAAGTGAACTTGTATATATAATTTGCTAAAAAAAATCATTGACATTAATATATGAGACATAATCTTATTCTTTTTATCAATAATTTTATTGGCTTTAATCCTTACCATTGGTAATATATTTATTAATTTTCTTTTTATTGACTAGGTATGTAAAAGTATGTAAAAGGTTAAAGTAAAGTTCCCAAAACAAAATTCACACAAGGCAAAGTTATACTGCCTAAGAACCTAGAACAATGTATTACTCCTTCTGTTATAAAATAATTATCATTTTTTTGTGTGTTTTACACGGACTTAGAAAAGGTAATAAGTATATGAGAGGGAATGATATACAAAATTAATCTTATTTAATTTTATAAAAAGTAATAAATAGATAAAAGAGAAACTTAATATTAAGAGTATAATTGAAAATATAATTAATATACTACCTTTAAAAGTTAAAATTACAAGTAGTTTGAGGCAGGGAGAGTATTTATTCATCTACCTTTTATTGAAATAAAAAATACTCATAATAAAAGATATTTTTCTAAAATAAAAATATAATTATTGGAAGAGACCTTTAGATTCATTCTAAAAAAAATACCAAGTCAAACTTTTAATTTAGTTCTTAAGGACCAAATTGAGTATAAACAAGATTAATTGGACTTTATATATCTCTTTAGCTTGGGGTATATGTGATATTGATCTTTGAATTTTAAATTTTAAATAACTTTATTCAGCTCAAAACTCATAACCAAAACATCAAAGTATACCAAAAATTAAAAGAAAATCAAATTTCCCCTATTCAAATCCTAGT